TTAATAAATTTTTTTTTTTTTTTTTTTTTTTTTAAGGGTAATGTATTAAGCTGAGTTTGAAATGATATTAAAGTGGCATATTTAGGCTTTAAACTCTAAAAATAGGCAATTATAGGCATATTTTTTTACCACATTCAAAATTTGTGGTTTTTCACAATTCGCGGGTGCGCTATGAAAGTAACCCCCGAGAATTTCGGGGGTCGACCGTATTCATGATTGCATTAGCAGCTGTGAGCTTGTGTTAGATTTTATCAGCAGCCGGTGCCCTTTTAAGTAATAGACGATCTGGTCGATTGTAGAGCGGCCCTAAAGATCTAAGATGTATAAAAAGACGGGCAAACTCGGCTGACCAGGTTCCACTTATAACTAAAAGATCCTTTTTAAATGGACTCGTCCTTTTGAGCTTTTGGACATGACTTGATCAGTTCTCGCACCTTTCTTGTTGGGATTATAATGCAGCACAGTGGCGTAGTGGTTGGCACTTCTGCCTTGCAGCACTGAGGGTCCCTGGTTCGAATCCTGGCCAGAATCTGCAAGAAGTTTGATGTTCTCCATGTCCCTCCTTCGTCCCACACCCAAACACATGCTGGAAGATTAATTGGCTCCTGTCTAAATTGTCCCTGTATGCATTCATGTGAGATAGGAACCTATATATCAATACCTGTAGTAATAATAAAGTCCAGACAGTCTCCTGGTTCAGGTTCTTGAGTAGAGCGATTGAGATATATTTATGTATATAGTGCCGACAATTTACGCAGCGCTTTACATTAACATCAGTCCCTGCCCTCAAGGAGCTTACAATCTAAGGTCCCTATCTCGCATACATACACAGAGGACCAATTGAGACAGGAGACAATTAAACTTCCTGCATGTCTTTTTGGGGTTTGGGAGAAAACCGAAGGGCCCACAGTGCTGCAAGGCAGAAATGCTAACTACTACGCCACTGTGCTGCCCAGATATACAGACAGGCCCATTCTGTGTATCTGGAGGAGCAGACAAGTAGAAATATGTAGCGGGGTGACCTGTGATCAATACAACCTTTTGGATAAAAGCTGGTTCTGTGCATGCAGTATTCCTAACTGACTGCAAATCTTCACTTTTGACACAATTGTTCTTGTTATAAACGTTGCCTCAAACAAGTGCCGAGCATGAGGGCTGTCGGAATGCTGCTTTCTAGACATGCTGGAGGGTTGTAGGTTTCTACTGAATGTTCAGACACTTCTCAGAATTTCTAGTAGTATGAAAACACAACAGAGAGGGTCATACACTCGCACAGAAATATGCACCTAGGTCACCTGTCTACAGCGGTACTTGAGCCTTACAATGATTCTTTGTAATTTTTTTTCTGAAGCCTTTAGTGTGAATGTCAAGGTTATACAGCGTTTGTATACAAAAAAAAAAAAAAGTATTTTGGTTTTGGAATGATGGAGTAGGGAATAGTCAGACAACTCTTGCAGTTTATTTTTTGCTCCCTGTGTCCCGTTGTGGAGATTTTGCTTCAACTTCTGTCCTGGGGATGCAACTGGAAGTTAGAGGAAATCTCCTCACCAGAACAGGTGTCCCCGCTGGAAGACTTCCTTTCACCTTCTGTAACGGTGACACCTGTAACATTTTGGATTTCTCCTTTCCGTCTGTCTCTGGGACGATGAGCACCAGGACAGATACAGAGGGTGAATCTTCCTAGGGGGTATACAGACGAAAGAGGAGCTTTACCCATATATTTGAAATGACAGCAAATACACCTTTAGAAATGTCTAGTTATGACAATCTACAAACACATACTTATAGATAATTGGAAGCTTTTTAGTCTTTGCATACCTTTTTTTTTTTTCTTCCACATTATCCTCACAGTGGCCATTTTTTTTTCTAAGGGGAGATTAATAGATCTCCCTTTACTTCCTGAAACTCAGGGGAGGAAAATGCCTTTCTCTGAGATCTTGTGAGATTACAGATGAGATTTCACAGCAATACTCTGCTGCTGTAACCTTCCCAGGATGCAACACTTGGGCACAGATTACATCACTAATGCCCAAAAGGACCAGGAAGTGGAAAAACAATAATTGTAAGTAAAATAGAAATATGTTTGTTTAATGAATGTAAGACAATTTCATATCGGAAAGCAGAGCTGCATGCTAATGTGATTTTTAGTGAAAGGGGGTAAGGGCCCACTTTAAAGGAGAACTATGAAATGCACTAATCCCCATGGCTAGAGCCAACAACACTGCAGCTGTCACACATCGGCCCTATAGATCGAGAACTAAGCAATCCCAAACCGCTGAATGCTTAGTTCATGATCATCTCCCTGCAGAGATTCCCTTCTCCCCTCTCTGTTCCTCTAGCGCTCACTGGAGGGACAGACAAAGGAAGGGGTGGGAACAGATGGCTCTGTTTCTAGAGAGGCAGAGCCAGCTGTCAATCAGGTAGCAGGGTGGATCCCCACAATATTGCCAGGATCCTTCCTGGCTGCCAGCATACAGCAGGCAATAGTAAATGTCCTCGTGTGACCTAAAATAGAACCAAAGCCAAAAAAAGGTTTGGCCACAGTTCTCTTTTAAAGCCTGACAGAGTTCAGAATTCTATCCACAGTTTAAAAAGAAAGTTTTGTCTATACATACTGTACACTTATAAAATACATAACAAAAAGCATCAAAACTGCAGCAACCAGTCAGCTTCTCTCTTCAGTTTGTTCATTTAAAATTTGAAAATGAAAGAGAGAAGCTGATTGGTTGCTGTGCACAGCTGCTTCAGATTCTGTCTGCTTCCGTTTTGATAAATTCCCTTCTGTATGTTTGGTTAAGAGTTGAGCTTAAGGCAGAACTCCAGCCACCTTTTTAAAAAAATTTGCATGTGATGGGTAACTGTTAGAATCTCTCTTGCTTTTTCATTGCAGTCTGCATCCCCATCAGGGAGATTTTTCCTTCACTTCCTGTCTTGAAGACCTAACCGGAAACAAGAAATTTCTAGAAAGTGGGGGGAATTCTCCTCTTACAAGGATGTCACTAGATCCGGTGTCCCCTAATGGAAACTTTTTCCTCCACTTCCTGTTTTGGTAAAAACACAAAAATGTGGGCTTTCCCATCACTTTATGGACGACTGACACTTGTAAAAGAGAGAGGAGATCCAGATGGCAATAAGAACCTGAAAGGGGTTTCTAACTCTCCCCTACTCTATCCAGAACATAGAAAAGAGTTTTGTCTGGACCTGTGATCGTGTCTTTCATTGCACTTCTGCAGATTGTCAGTTGATAGTTGAGCCGCACACAGCACCAGAGGGTTGCAGGTTACCTACTACAGCAGTCAGTGGGTGTTGCATTTGTGGGACGTGTCAAGATATTGGTTTACCCTTGCACACACTATCTTATACTAGCTTCGCTCCGAGGGCAGCGTCTGGTGCGGTGCATTTATTGTCAATGTCCCAGCCTGTGGGATCGCCTTGTTTGCGCACCCTATCCCTGTTTGAATAGAAAGGGCCGTGCAATGAGAGACACACTGAATGCTCTGAATGGGTATTGTGTACACGCTGACTGACGCGCATTAAGTTTATATAAACAGTGTGAGACTCCTGTCTGTTTTCTGGTGTTAAAGGAGATTGTGACTTGAACAATGGATTAAAGGTATCTATCGGTGTAGGATGTCCACCGGACTCGGCGATCCTTTCTTAGCAAAGTGGAGCTGTGAACATAATGACTCAAATCTGCTATACAGTAATACCGCGGTTCACGAACGCTTCTGCTTGCGAAAAATTTGGATTTGCGAACAGGAAGTTCGGCAAGATTTTGCTTCTGTTCGCGAACTCCGCATCGGGTGACGAACACGACGGCGGCCATGTTCCCTGCAGACAGACCTGTGCACACTTGCTGTGAAGCTTTATTGTGTGCTTGTTAGCACATACAGTATTTGATTCCGTTCGTGACCAGACTCGTGGAACGAATTAAGTTTGTGAACTGAGGTAACACTGTAATTATATATATATATATATATATATATATATATATATCTCATACAGCAGTGGCATACACAGACAAGACAAAGTTACCTTGTGATCTGAATCAGGGATCATGGAATAAGGTCAGCAGAACTGGTTGTGAATGATAGATGGTTATCCTACAGTAAATATGTCTTCAGTGCCAGGAGGCCTGTACTGAAATCAAGAGAAGATAAAAATCATACAAAAGCGTCCTTTGGACCTGTAACTTAACCATAACGCTTAAAGGGGAGAATTTATCAAAGCTGGAGCAGACAAAATCTGGAGCAGCTGAGCACAGCAACCAATCGGCTTCTGTCTCATTTTCAACTCTTAACTGAGCAAACTGAAGAGAAATGCTGATTGGTTGCCATGGGCAACTGGTCCATATTCTGACTGCTCCAGTTTTGATCAATTCCCGCCAAAGTGTACATAAACACCTAACAACAAACTTATTTATTCCCCTTTGGTCTGATAAATATACCATTACAAGCATGATGTTATATCTGTTTGATAAGTGTAACTGTTGATTTTATCAGAAATTCAGAGCTGTCCTGTGTCCTCTGCACCCATCCTGTGTTATCTCAAAGAGCTCTCCTAGTTGTGATCTTGGACTACAGAATGATTAGCTTTATGTTGTGGGAGTGGTAGTTTAGCAAAAGACACTGGGCAGGGTTGGCACCTCTCAGTTCACAAAAATGCTGTATGTTGTCAGCTCTCAGTAGGGCTTAAGAGCTGAATGTATTTCTGGCAGATCAACAGATAATGTATGTACTTGCAGGGAAAGGAATAAAACATGGGGAAATGTGCATGTATGGCAGATATTTCCTGCATTTTTATATGCATTGGTCTAAAATAGGGAAGCACCGATACCGATACTAGTATCAGTATCTGTGCCGATGCCGAGTATTTGCCCAAATGCTCTGATGCCTATGATTCGGGTATCAGGAAGCCGGGCAGTGAGTTCTTACACGCTGCCCGGATTCCTGATTGGCTGGGAAGCCGGCTCCATGCTCTCTGGTCACTTGTGACCAGAGGGCATGGAGCCAGCATCGCGGCCAATCAGGAAGCCAGGCAGCGTGTAATGACTTGGTGCCCGGCTTCCTCATTGGTCATGGAAACGGGCCAATCAGGAAGCCAGGTACCGTAAAATGACGCGCCACTCGGCTTTCTGATTGGCCGGGACGCCAGCTTCATGCTCCCTCATCACCTTATGACTAGGGAGCATGAATCTGGCCAATCAGGAAGCCGGGTGTTGCGCCATTACACGGCGCCCGGCTTCCAGACTGGCCAGAAAGCCGGCTCCATGCATTCTCATCACCTAGTGACGAGAAGCATGGGGACGGCTTCCCTGCTAATTGGGTAGCTAAGTGGGGAGTTTTTACATGCTGCCCGGCTAATCGGGAAGCCAGGTGGCAAGTCATTTCACGCCGCCTGGCTTCCTAAATGGGACTTCCGGTATCGGCGAGTACCGGAAAAAAATATCCGTACTCGATACCGAAATACTGGTATTGGTGCATCCCTAGTATAAAATATATTTTTCCCTCACATATGCGTTAATGTTACCCTAACTGCTTCCTGTCCTAGAGACACAGAAGGGAGCAAGAGTAACTTTCTCCCAAAGTATTTTTTTTCTGTCACCTTCAGATTGTCAGCTGTTTCCAGACTGGACTGACGGGCTCCTAAATTCTGCATGTTTCCATCCCTGCCTTTGTCTAAGGGCGGCCATTCTACTAAGACCTAGCACAACTAGTCACAACTAAAATTTAATGTGGAAGGGTGAGAAGGAGGAGGAGAAAAAGGGGAAATCTTCCAGTTGCAGTGACAACTGTGTAAGTTGGAATTTCCCCTTAATCTGTAGAGATATCCTCTCACTTCCTGTATCTCCAGCCCAGGAAGTGAAAGTAGGACATCTCCCCATTAGAACACAGACACCAAGAAATAAACTTACAGGGGTTTTAATTAATTCCCTACTCTATCCATAACAACAAAAAATAAGTTTTGGCTTTTACATAATCTTTAGTGTCATCCGTTTGGGGATGCCATGATCATGGTTCCCAAGGAGGGATGCTTGCCATGACAGTTTTCATGGTGTGGGTCTTTTTTGGACAAAAATGTGGAGTTTAAATGGAACCTGTCAGTATAAAAACTATTACTAGATAGGAGGCAGCACAGAGTGTTAGTACTGTATATTGATGGCTTCTCGAGATCCTGTTTCATTATGCAAATCCAAACGTTGCTCCAATTTGACATTTAGGTACATCCTCCCCATGACACCGAGCGGTCTTCTCAGCAAACATTTGATAGTTGCATGCATTGAAAAGTGGGATGGGGTGAACAATGGCAAACATATCTAAACTCATACCTAGAACACAGTCAAGACTTGCTCACTCAACTTCCCCCAGTTTGGGAAGCACGCAGATTAGGCTGGAGCAAGGCTCATCTGCTATCAGCTAGCCATGCTACTTCAGAAATAGTTATTTTGTGACAGGTTACCTTTAAATGGCATCCTACAAACCGCCTTGCCCTTCTCTCGTATCACATTTGTATGCTGACATCCCCTTTTTGTATTGCTGACCTTTACATTGCTGTGTGTGCTCACTATCCAGAGAGATAATGCCAAATTCTCCAATAATGATTTCACTTTTTTTTTTGCTCCCCCACCACAGAACAGTTGCTGGTCGGATTGAAGGACAAAGACACCATTGTGCGATGGTCTGCAGCAAAGGGGTATGCTATTCCTCTTGTATAGTAAATAACAGGGTTCCAGTCTGATTTTTTATTTATTTTCATTTTTGGCCTGACCGTTAGGGCCTCTCACAGTTGGCAAAGCAAACATTATTGTAGTTAAATTTGCTGAGCCCTCGAGGCATTAGCTGGGTTTGTTTGCTCGCTGTACTTCCTTGTAAAGTTCTGCAACCAAATCTCCATTATGCGCACAAAGTTGAGTCGTATTTATCCCGTCTGTATTTTTTCTCTGCTTGTTGTGCAATGATGCAGATATCGCCCTGGTTTTTTTTTTTTTTTTTAAGGATTAAAGTAGAAATAAAGTCTTGTTTTTTAAAACTTTTATCTATGGCTAGCAAGCAGTAAATATCTGCAATAACATTTTAAAAAATAAAAAAGCTACCAAATAGGTAAAAATATTCCTGTATCTCTGCCGCTCACTCCTGGCTGCAGAATCTAGCTTCCCCGAACGGCCGTGCAGGAGGAAGTGGACGGGGAGTGGGTATCACTGGCGGGGAGAGGAGGAGAGCTATACAGCCGGGAGCGTGCATGTTGGACAGACTCCGTGGGACAGGAAGACACAGCAGTCTGCGCTGGATCAGAGACCGGCACAGCGCTGGAGGGACTCCTGAAAACGACTGGAAGGAAGTAGATGATCGGATCAAGAGGCATCACTTAAGGTAAGTCTTTAAAGCAGGATTGTGGGAGGGGGGGGGATTAGCGTTTAATGTCACTTTAAAGTATACCTGTTCTAAACCTAGGCAATTAAGACAACATTTGGAAAAGAAACATACACAGTGGTTGGCTATGGTAAAGACAGCATATAAAAGCAGCTGTTGGAATCATAGATTGTGTCATATAATGCTGTAAGCAAATATATCGACTTTTCCTTCAAAAGTCAAGCTTGGCTCCTCCCCACTCCTACATTCTCATCCGTTGCTGGTTGTTTTGCCCATCAGGACAAATAATGAGGCTTTGGGATTGGAGAAAGTGAAGCCACGCCAATTTTTTTTACAGGAACTGTTGAGATATGCAGATAGATTCAGCTGCATATATCTCTGGATCTGCTCATCATTTGATGTTTTCACTGAAAGTAGATTTATACAGATTTTCTAATTGTACAGCTTTGTTATAAGTTTAATTTTGGCCGCCGAAAGCAAATCCGGATGGAGAGCGGTGCTGGGAGGAGACAGCTGTCAGCTGTGTCACAGGAGGGCGATCTCTCCTCCCGAACCGCCTGCTCAGCCTCTTGTGACAGCGAGTCAGGATGAAGAGCGGTGTACAAACACTCAGAGATCAGTTAATCGCCTAACGTTTGTACATAATTGAGGACATAGTATGCTTACTGTATCCCCAATTATGAATGAATAGGAAGGGCTCTACATCACTTCCTGTTCATTCTGGATTGTGGACATAGTCTGATATTATCTCCTCAGTTTATGAATGGACAGGAGCACTCAGTATAGAGGCTTCCTGTTCATTCATAACAGGGGATGCAGAAAAAGAGATTTAGGACTCTGTGTCCTCAATCTCTGTTTCTATTTCAAAAGGGAGTTATCAAGGGTCTCTTTTAAACCCCCAATATTTCCCCAAAGCCACCGATAGTAAAGTAAAAAAATAAGATCAAATCATTTATAAAAGGTTAGAATTTTTTTTTTTCGGTTTCAGTTTGACAAATTTTTTATTTTAGGTTTCGGTATGAAAAGTCCATTTTATTGCATCTCCAGTAATAACCCTGACTCCACCCAGTTAATGCTCCTTATTAAGTCTCACTGAAGGGCAAAACAGTCCGCAAAGTCTTGATGGTTCGGGCATATAAGTATTTTTTTTTCTTAATTTATTAAAAACATTTCAAGAAAACTGCCGTTGTTTAGGTTTGAGTTATTATAATGTTTTGGATGGAACATGTGTGGTACATATCAAAAGAAATTTGATATAAATTATCAAAAATTCTGGTTCAACTTTAAACACTTCAAAACCACATTGTTGGCCAGTTAATAAATCTGTTATGTAAAAGATATGAGCAGCTTTTGAAATTCAATATTACTTACGAGTTAATCGGTGTGCCCAGTGTATTTAATATGCAGTTTGTGTGTTTTTGTTTCTGCCTTACTACTTGGCTTCTGCTGTAACCATACACTCATTGCATTCTTTTTTTAGGATTGGCCGGCTGACGGGACGGCTCCCTAGAGAGTTAGCCGATGAGGTGGTGGGGTCTGTGCTGGACTGTTTCAGGTAATTAAAAAAGTGTAAAGATGACCTGTATTCTAGTGGCAGCAGCCATCCTGCGGGCCTAACCATAGCTCACAGCAATGGATCTCACCCACTATTGTAGGTGCTGCTGATGTTCATTAAGGAAGAGACAATGGATGATATGAATTTACAGGCTTTCTGTTTTCAACATGCCCCCCTTTGGTGACTTATAGATGTCAGTTACCTGACCCATTCATCCTTGGGCAAACTGGTTGACAAGCTCCTATCTGAAGGCAATCCATGTAGAGATTTTTGCCGGCAGCTGTCAGATGCTTCGGTTTGCGGCGGGAGTTCGTCGTGTGCGGTTGGGTCGGCGTGCTGTGTTTTTTAAAAATATATTTTTTTTTTTATATACTATTGTTATTTATTTTTTTAATCTTATTTATTATTTATTTTTTTTCTTCATTTTGTTGACTTATTTTCTATTCTGCTCGCTACCTTAGGTACCAAGCAGAATAGGCGAGCTGAATGCCGCTTGGCGGCATTCGGCTATTCACTCACTGCGGTTCGGCCCCTATGAGAATAGCGGCGAACGGCAGTGAGTGAGCTGCCGGAGCTTCAGCTCAGCTAATCCAGATGTTGGATCGGCTGAATCGAACTCCTTCTGCACTTTGGCTGAACATGTAGAGCATGTTCGGCTCACCGAAGGCAGCTGATGTACGGCTGAAATCAGCCGTACAAGACTGAAGTAAATAGCCGAACAGTGTTCGGCTCACTTCACTTCGGTTGGGTTATTCACTTGGCTGCCTTCGACAGCTTTGTGAATAAGCCCCTAAAATTTTGGAATTCCTGTCACTTTATGTCCAGCTAAAAATGGTCACTGAAATAAATAGCGAGGGTAAATATCCTCAGCGAAGACCCACAGAGGACTGGAGTAGATGCAGATCTGAGACGATTTTGTGGAGCGTTTATCAGTTCTCTATGGATTTTGTGCCATCAAGGCATTTTCCATTTATGAGCTGGTAGCACATCCCACTCCAAAACCATTAACATTAATATGGAGTTGCCCCTGTCCCTGTCCCTTTTTGGCTTTAACAGCCTTCACCCTTTTGGGAAGTCTTTCAACAAGATTTTGGAGTTTGTCTGTGGGAAATTTGTGTCTACTTGTGCGGTCAGGTTCTGATGTTAGATGAGACCTGGCTCACAGTTGATGTTCCATTTCAACCCAACTGTGTGCGATAGGGCTCAGGTCATCGCTCTCTGCAGGCCACTTGAGTTCCTCTACAACATATTAGTCACAGATGTCTTAATGGTGCTGGCTTTGTGCACAGTCATACTGGAACAGGAAAGAGTCTTCCCCAAACTGTTGTCACAAGGTAGGAAGTACAGAATTGTCTAAAATGTCTTTCTGTGCTGTGACAATGACAGTATTCAATATTTTGGGAGGTTGCCTACATGTAGTGTAGAATTCAACAGCCAGAATATTTAAAGGCCATCCTTGACGTGCCCCTGTAATACCAATAATTCTCTTGTTGGGATGTCTAAGGAAAGTAGAGTTGAGGCTGGGTTCACACCTGGGCGTTTTTCAGCGCTGATCGAAGCGCTGAAAAACGCTCAGCAAGTGAAATCCCATAATTTTCTATGGGCATGGTTCCCACCTGGGCGTATTTCAGCGCGTGGAAGCGCGCTGAAAAATGCCCTACGCCCGAACAAGTACAGGAGCTTCTTTTGGGGGCGTATTTCCGCGCGTATCCATTGGTATTCCCGTGTGTTGCTCGCGGTTAACACAGCGGTAACCCTGAGCCACACTCGGGAATACAGCGTGGGTCTTACCTTGTCCGCGATCCCCACTGTGTCCTCCGGCCGCTTCCGGGTTCCGTCCCTTGCAAACGTCCGCATCGCAGGGGGGCGGAATTGGCGGGAAGTTTGAAAAAAACAAAAAACAGAAAAAAACATAAAATAAAAGAAATAGCTTTTTTTTTAAAATCATACCGCCAGGGAGGTATAAAAACGAGCGTCGAACGCGCGTTTCACTGAACTATAAAACGTGCTAAAAGACGTGCTTAAAAAACGCGCCTATAGTAACGCCCAGGTGTGAACCCAGCCTAAAAAGAGGAAGGGGCAGAGACCTCTAGCAAAGCAGAGTATTTCAGGTGAGAAGGGTTATAGAGGAAGGAGCAGAGTCCTCCAGCAGAGCAGAGTATTTCAGAAGAGGAGAGATAGCGGAAGGAGCAGAGTACTCCAAGGATTAGTGATTTATAGCGGCTGTCATTGTGGTGTAACTTTTTAGAGAGAAACAAAAGCATATTAGTTTCTGCCTAAGATGAAGGATATGTTTACTCAGGCTGTTCGAAAAATGTTATATGGATTTGCATGGCAGTTACAAGGACACCTGTAAACCTGTGCAGACTTGTGTTTTTTTTTTTTTTTTTTTTTTTTTTTTTTTTTTATTCCTTGGCTTCACACTAGATTTAATTTTGGAAGAAGTAACATCTGTTACTTAATGTTTAATGTGAGCCGTCTGACCTGACAGCCGGAAGTGTAGAAGTTCAGCATTAGGAACGAATAGCTAAAGACATCCCATGTGAGGAATCTGCCTCCTCCATGGAAGTTTTGGCTCACGGGTATTTAAAACTATAACTCTGCATGAGATATGGGGGGGGGGCAGATAAAGTGAGGCTGCCTATTAATCATGCTTAAGATGTCTATGAAGGTTCTCATTCATCCAGGTCATGGTATATCTGTAAAATTAAGTCAAGGCAACTGCTTAAAATGCATGGTTATATAACTCCATTGTGAATGTTTCATGCCCTGATCGACTGTATAGTTAAGAAAGACGTTAGAGATCTGGCTACTGTTGTCCAAATAGTTGAACTGGCCTTGCCTTCCACATTTTTACTATAATGTACTGTATATGTGGAGTAATAATTGCTAGCCCATCAGTGAGAGCTTTCTGGACCTTGGAAAATCTCTGCCTGTGATAGCAAGTGCTTTTGATGCTTACCGCTGTTTATTTTATGAAGCGCCCCTGATGTACTGATTATTGCAGTCAGTGCTGTCTTCACTGGCTTTGTGAATGGGATCCTCAGGCTTGGCAGTCAATGGCTGACCTTATCTATTTTATTTATATTGACCCAAAGTTTGTCCAGTATTTTTACCTCACTTGACTTGCTGCTTTTGGGTTCGTTGAATCCTATTGACAGTGCTCCTGCCATTTAATATGGTGATGGACTTTTGTTCCAAGCACCATTGATAGTAATTAATAGTAATCTGTTGCTTTTCCACCTTGCTTGGCAAACAGTTCAGCAGCAGAATACATTTGAGGAGCACTGCTAATAAGGTTAAAATTAGGGATATTCAGATACCAAGTATCATACCCGGTACAAGTACAGAAACTTTTCCAGCTTCAAGACTAGACTAGAGAAAAATTAAAAAAGTTAGGAGGCAGCTGTCATTTTGTAAGGATCACACGGAGCTCCTGGGATTTGTACATCTGTGTTTTAATGTATGATTTTTTTTTTAAATAAATATATAAGGGCTGCACCAAAACCATTTTTTCAAGTACTGACACTTGTCCAAGTACTCACAGATACAAGTACTGATGGATACAAGTACTGATACATTTTTGTTTATTGTCATGTGACAGTTTTTTTAAAAACAATACAGACTAATGATTTCAGGACAGTGGTAGAGCGCCAGAGCCAGGTCCCAGCTGCAACCTGGTAGTTCTCGTGAAAATGCCAAGTATCGGCACTGGTATCTGAACATCCCTAGTTAAAAGAACCCAAAAGCCATGAATGGGAGGGCCACTCCACCTCTTATTTTGGCCAGAATGAGCTCAGTCAGAGGCAGGCACAGTACACCGAACTGGAGGATTGGTTAGTAAATTACAGATATTTATTTCATGGCTCAGTAAATAATAGTATAATTTGTGTTCCTTTTTAGTTTTCAAGAAACTAATAACGCCTGGCATGGCGGATGTCTAGCTTTAGCTGAATTGGGCCGGCGAGGACTGCTGCTTCCATCTCGACTTCCCGACGGTAAGAATTCTCATTGTCTTCTTCCATATACTGTAGATTGCATTGCATACTTTGATTACACCCGAAATCAACCACATTGGCTTTTATTCTCTGCAAATACATATTGTGATAATTTCAGGACATTGTTAGAAATGAAGAGATAAGGCTCCAGTTTTGAGAAGTAATATTTCATGGCACACAGACAACTTCTTTTCAGGGACCGTGTTGAATAACCATGCATGTTATACAAGAAGATTAACCCTGCAAGGAATTTGGTTGCTTACATGGGCATTGTGAGTGGGTGCTAAATATAGAGTATGAGGACCTGTTATGTTGGTTTTCATTGAAGACTTTGGGTATCTGTTTACAATTTTATGTCTTTTCCGTGCAGAGTTTATAGAATCTTATATGTTGGTTCCCTCTACTCTGATTCAGTGCAATCCTTTATACCTTCCACTGGCTTGGGGAAGGGCTGTGAAGTCCTATCCCCAGCTTCCAGATAATTATTCTCATGCTACTTCCAGGGTGTTGACGGCACTGGCGGGGAAATCTAAAGGCATTACCTCTGCAGCCCTCAAACTCTTTTTCCCATTGCCCCCTTATTTATGATTTTTTTAATATTCCCCCTGTGAGGTAGAGTAGGGGCATAAAAATTATTGGGTATCATTTAAATGCAAAGAGCCCATGGCAGGTGCATCATGGTTTTTATTGCATGTTTAACTGTGCTTAATTTCCAGAAAGCAAAAAGCTCCAGCTAGGAGGCTAAATACGGAGATGCGGTAAACATTTGGGAGTTGTTTTACCTACTAAATGGTTTCAAATTCAGTTCAGCCTTGTGATTCATATATCTCCAACAAACTTGGCAGCCAGGTCTTTGACCTCAACTATAGTAGTGCAGTTTGCTCAAGAACACACCCACCCTGCTGATTGGGCAATGAGAGAGCATCAGTAGAGTAAAAAAATATCACTCTGCTCTTGTTCCCTGTCAGCATATGTACAGGCTTCAAGTTCTGGCCTGTCTCTCCCAGACTTGGTCCTGCTGTACCGGGGACCGCAGGAAATAGATATCAGGACACATTTGGGTGCTTAGTTGCATCTAAAGTAGAACTATGGTTGAACTTTACAATTACATATGTAAAGTAGACTGCCCATACTAGTAAGACTCTCTGAGGGGAATTTGTCAAAACTGGAGCAGACACAATCTGCAGCAGTTGCATATGCCAACCAATCAGCTTCTCTCTTCAGTTTGTTCAGTTCAAATTTAAAAATGAAAGAGAGAAGCTGATTGGTTGCTGTGCACAAAGGCTCCAGATTTTGTCTGCTCCCGTTTTGATAAATTCCCCTCTCTGTATTTCTAAGGACCCCCTGGAACATTTTGGTAATATCTGTTAATCCTGTCAGTAGAACGATTGGATAAGCTGTTCATTTGATTGGAGACAACACTATTCCTTCTGCAATGAAATCACCCTTGTTGGTGTAGTTGCTGTGAATGCTGATAGGCCTATCGGTGGATAGCCACATTTTGCTCTGCCCACATAGATGATGTAAAAGCCCTGCTCAGTGCCTCCTACATCCTCCAGCACTGTGTAGGAGATTGCAGGAGAAATTCAGCTTTCCACTGCATTTACCAATCACCATGTCATTTCTTTTAGGACATTTACCATGCCAAGTTACCTCAACAATGCCTGTTTATCACTTTGACAAAAAAGAGGGTTCACTTGCACTTATTAAAATTAAATGGAAGGATATAAATACATTAATTGGTGTTTTTGTATCTGGCTGGACTTCAAGAGACTCTGTTACTGGGGGGGAATGCTGAACGTATGAAGTGCAGGTGCCTAGAACCTCCCAAACCTTTTTGCCTCTCAGCTTCCCCAACCTTTTTGCAGTGGCTAAATGCTGGACCATCTAATATGCTACCCTCCGGAGCTTCAGGATTATCTCAGAGCATTGGTTTGATGGCCTACCTGCCTGGGAAATAGGAATGTGCAGGTAAGGGAAGGCTGGTAGAGAACCATCAGCATGAAGGAAAAATGGGAAAACATGTAAAAACAGAATGTCATGAAAACCAAACAATGGCAATTGTTTAGGATATACATGATGCTTTAGCAGTGGTGTCACACGGGGTGCGGCCCACACCGGATGACACCAAAATGACTGACAGTCATTTTGGCTTCACCCTCTCTAAAAAGTCAGGCATTTGGTCATGGACCGAGAGCCTGACAGTGTTGCACGAGAGAGGAGGGGACCCCCAGCGGCATACCTTATCCCACCGGGTGAATGTCCCCTCCTCTCTTTGCCGGCATCCATCACCAAGATGGCTGGCAGCAGGTGAGGTGACGTCATTACGCACTTGTGTGATGATGTTCCATTTTTAGCTCTACCTTACTAAATGGCAGGATTTGGTTTATAAATATAATATTGGCTAATAACGTAGAATAACTATGTATAGGAATACAAATGTGAATAGCCAAGCATGCCTCTCATGCTATTTTCAAGCAATATGTAAGGGAGTCAGTGAGTCCTTTTCAGTGCCAGAATGTGTGATATCTCATTGAGGGTTTTTCCAGTTGGTGGGAGAATCTTAGCCTTTGTTTAACAATTGGCCCTGTTTCTCCTTTATGATTGGAGCTGTCCCTTTGCTATGTGCACATTGCTTCTGTTCATCAGCACTCTCCGTGATAACAGATGCAGTGGGTCCCTGCATTGCATCTTTGATGGCCAAAGTCTTCCTACTGTTTCCAGGATTCCCAACATTTTATGAACTACTCCTATAGGTGACACGTGATAACTGAACACAATACTGCCTGTAGGTTGCTTGTTTGTTCTGTTAACTATTTCAGCAAGGATGTTGATTTCACTGTCTAAATTACAGATAACCATTAGAGGTAGAATCTACACATTTATATATGAAATGTATTTATGAGGATATGGAACAGCATGTGAAAAGATCAGCCACAAGCAACAATGTTTTTGAGGTAGAACTCATCCTGTTTGATAATGTACAATAAAGTTCTGGAAGACTTTCTCTTCAAACAGTTCATAGACTCAGATACTACTTTTTTCAAATGTATGTTTTTATTGTTTTTTTTTCTTTTTCATTTTGTGTTGAAATAGAGCAAACAGCGGTGATACACAGAAACCTTGCAACGCACGCTATAGCCTATTAGAAAAAAGTCCACATTTGTTGTCCCCATTGGGAGCCGACAGGCGACACAAAAGCCCACACCCCCGCAGTGCTTATTTTATATAAAAATAAATATTAACCTATATAAATATTAATCGAAGACTTCAATCTGTATCTGACTCAATTGATACAGCTCTTATACTCGTTTCTAAAAAATCCGCTAAATATTAGCTTTCAATTATACATCGGTCTTCTGTCGTCAGCAAATAATGAATATATACAAGAGAACTACAAGCCGGTTGCTTGTGCATTTTGAGTCCAAACAGAAGGTTCACCAAAAAGCAGCTTTCTCTTTTTTTGGGGTGGGGGGGGTGAGGGGAGAGGAGATAAATATTTAATGCAAGTCTCTTTGGTGTTTGCACATGATACATTTTGGTCTAGGACACTCTTTGCCGTCTCCTTAGAGTAAACACTCTACCTGAATCAGCAGTTTTAGCTTTTTTATTCACAACATTAGTCTTTCCTGTTTCCTGTTTTGGGTTCACCCGTTTCTGTCCCTTCGTTTCAGCTTGGTGTTCTGCCTCTTGGACATCAGGGGGATTAGCGCCTGATACTCTTGCAGCAGTCTGGCTTTCCAAGATGTCCTCTTTGCTGGCTTGGGCTCCCGGTCCTGGACTGTATGTGGCTAGCTGGCAAAGTGCCACTGCAGCGGATTGTTTTTGCTCGTCACAGTTCTCGATCAGCGACTGCTCGCTTAAAGCGTTGGTGGTCTCCTTGGTGGTTTTGTTTAGGTAACTTGGAGAGAAGGGGCTGTATGTTGGAGATGAGGAACCTTCACTGTGAGGTACTGAACGGTCCCTTTTGCTAGAGTCTTTTACGGAAAGATTTAAAGGCATGTCCTGCTCCCCCATGATATCAATAGGCTCAGTTTCTGGCCTCTTAGAGAGGTTTAGAGGAGCAATTCCGGAGTCGTCCTCACAATCTGACGATGATTCATGGTCAGCTGAGTAGCTGCTTGCGTTGGATAAGGCAAGTTCACTTCCAGTGCTAAGATGAAAGATAGAATGTGGGTTAGTTTATTTTGTTTTTGCACAGAAGTCACATTGACATGAACTAAAGATTTGAGTATCTGACATCTTTTTATATCCACATCACAGCAGCAAAAGACTAAAGTTATTACATTTTGTCTTATGAGTTTTATGCTAAATCTACAGGTCACCTGCCCTGCATAGGATAAATATTTTAACTTTAAGGTGTTTAATTTATAACTTTGAGCATTTATTTCTTTTTGGCACTGTATGTTGAGGTTGCCGTACAAAAGAAATAACTAGGGTTGCACAGATACCAAGTACAGTACTCTGTACAAGTACTAGTACAAGTACAGATACTTTTGAGCTCCAAGACTAGACTAGAGAAAAATTCAAAAATTAGGAGGCAGCTGTCATTAGTAAGGAGCACACGGAGCTCCTGGGATTTGTACATCTCTGTTTTAATGTACAATTTTGTTTTTATAAATAAAGGGATGCACAGATACTAGTTTTGGGAGTACGAGTACTAGTACTTGCAGAGTACTTAAGAGTACTGATACATTGTTGTTTATTGTCATGTGACAGTTTTTCTAAAACAATACTGACTAATGGTTTCAGAACAGTGGTGGAGTGCCAGAGCCAGGTCCCAGCTGCAACCGCTGCAATCCTGGTAGTTCTCATGAAAATGCCAAGTATCTGCACTGGTACTCGAAAAGTATCTGTGCATCCCTAGAAATAACTATTTCTATTTGCTCAATGCTTTAAGATTAGCTCAACCTTGATTAGGATCTCAAGTTGACTTACCATGGAGAGTTTCCTCTGATCGGTGATGTTTGGGAGTCTGTGCTTCTTCTTACTGGCTTAAAAGCAGTGAGAGTCTCTTCTGAACTGTCACTTGTTCCAACTGTTGAGGTAGATTTGCTGGAAAGATCAAAGATGCCCTCGAAGACTTGACTGTTCTGGGTAAAGTTGGTTGGACTTGGCCTGCCAGGGGATCCTGTGGCAGCACTGCCAGCTCTAGGGCTCATTTTTAAGTTTCCATCTTCATTTTTTTGATCTGCAATCTTAGCTTGGCTCAGCATTGTGTCTTTTTGGCTTTCATGTTGTTTCTGACTTGAGTCCATGGGATAAAAACGTAGTGGGTTTGAGCTTTGATAGGGAAAAGATTGAGAGTCTATAGTATGAAGGGTGTGTTCCTTGGACAAGCTTGGCACATGTGGCAGCCTCCAAGCATACTGTAGTAGGGAATGTTCTGAAGGCCGGTAATAACCGTATGGTATTGATGGGTTTGGCTGGAGTGACATATATCTGTAATCGAAAGAGGGATTTAATGGCTTTGGCATAGAAAGTCCTGAGTTTTGAATGGGTTGGGGACGGTAGAGTCTTTGCTCTGGTGCAGTGTAGACTGAGAGCATGGGATTGTCACAGTCAGCAGGGTTCCCTGTAAACAGATATGGAGGGTACAAAGTAGGCAAGCCCGAATCAGAATAAAACGGGGTTGTATAATCTTGTACCATTGGGCGGATGTATCGTGGAATTGTTCCCTTCTGGTTGACCTCAGGTGGAGCAACTGATTTCCACGTAGTTGGGATGCTCTGAAAAGCCGATCTTGCCATATGTACTCCTTTGATGGAATCAATGGTTTGAATAATTTCTGGTATGTGGCTGCCTTCGCTGCCCTTCATATACCTGTGCTCTCCAACTGGGATGAAAGCTGAAGGTCTTAAAACACTGTCAATCACTACTGGCTTGTTGACTGGGCTGTGTCCAGTTGGTGAAGGTAGTGAATGCTCCCTATGGTTTGGAGGCTTTTCGACATGAGACATTGCGTCTTTGTTTTTAAATTCTACATTTTCTTTTAGCTCATCTCTGGTTATATCAGGTTGAGCCTTTGAGTCCATGACTGTCAGTACATTGGTGACAACAGGATTAGGTTTGGCGAACCCTTCAGGAGATGCTGGCTTGGCCTCCAGCAAGTTTGTTTTAGGACTTTTGACAGCCCGATCTTGCTCTGTCATGAGCGTGATAGAATTTTTGCAGAGTCCATACTTCATGTGGTTGAACAGATGAGATTTCTCATTGCAGGTAAATGGACACTGGAAGCACTTGTATTTAAACGGTTTACCTGGAGGTCTTGGAATGTAATGAGGTTTCTTGGGTTTGCGCTCCTTCATTAGAGACATCCTTTTTTAAAAGATTGAGTCCTTTTGTGCTCTGAAATGGACTTTTTGTTTGGTCACTTTTGACACCCTCACGTGGAATGCCTTGTCAGCTGTGGGGTGATTTCGGTTTCTCCAGTTTTCACCAGTCACCTGTTCCTTCAGAGACCACCTGAGATCTGCAAAAGACAAGAAGTATAGAATTCAGTCATGTCTTGCTCATATATTCTCAAATACGCAGCCCACATAATTAGTAACATATGGATCACACCCTTTTTATCTGGTCCCTAGGGAGACTGTTCTTAATGTACACATACATATAGATTCCTGGAACAGCTCCCAGCTATTTTACTGTGAGTTTCCTAATCCACATACCAGGGCACCTCATTGTATTCTTAAGTACTCCTTGGAAAACAGGCTTTGCAAGATCAAATACCTTGCCTTTGCTTCATTGCCATGGGACCAGTATGGCTAATGACAGTTCTGTATCTCAAGATTTTTTGGGGAAAGGGGGTTTACACTACTGAGGTGGACAAGCCATCAATAAAAACAGCCCAGTTAATGAAATGGACAATTAATCTAACAAGCATAACAAATTTTATACTTGGACAGATAATAGTGAGGTGGGCTTAAAGTAATTTTTTGGATATAGAAGGAAAATGTTAAAACCTCCCTGTGTCCCTTTTGGGGAGATTTCTCTTCACTTCCAGCCCTTTAGACACAACAGAAGGTGAGAGAAAATCTCTCTAAAGTGAGGGTAATATTGCTAAGCCGCTTCCAATTACGGATGGTTCTTGAGGAATAGGCTGAAATTAAATGCGTTGGTGTTGGTTTTGGCATTTTTCCGACCGGCATCCCTCAATCAGCTGATCAAAGGAGATTTCTCAATCAACGCACATAGGCGCTGATGGAGGAATCTCTTCTATTGTCTTCGTTCAGCCGGCAGTTTAAGCGAAGCAAATAGAAGCGTGTATACCCAACTTGAGACAGTTGACACCTGAAAAGTGTTCTTTTTTAGTTTTACCCTCACTTTTAGTCCAAGAGACAGCGGTCACTAGGACCGATGAAAGGGTGAATTTCATCATAATAGACACAGAAGGCAATAAAAACCTGTCAAAGGTCTAACTCATCCCTATTCGTTCAGAGGCTAATATAAAACATTTTGGCTTTAAACAAACTTCAAAGGAATTACAAATTCTCTACCAAACCAGTGAAAGCACATGAGAGCCTAATCCCTTCTAGTTCTATGGCTTGTACAGTGTTTCGCACCTTATTTTATATAATAGCAGCCAGAAAGGGCTGGTGCTTTAATTACAGGTAATAAAATTGATCTACTTTGGAGAGCTGTCGGAATGAAAAATAATAATGATGCAGTGATGAGATTCTGCACCGTTTAGATAAGATCATTTTCAACAGAATGAATAAAGTCCCGTTCTCTTGACAGCTGACAGTTCTGGCTTCGGATTATGTCAGAAGGATGTTTTTTTTATATTGCAATTTTTAAATAAAAAAATTCCAAGCCTTTCCTGCCCGTCGGGATACGGAAATCGTTATGTGTTCCACTTTTAGATTTTAGGAGCATAGAGGATAGCCATCCTGTCCAACAAATAAGACTACAGGTAGCGTTGTTTGCAGTCAGCTGCTCTACCTTATGATTCTTTAACAGAAAGAGAGCGATCGGTATGCTGAGCTGATGAAGAAAACCAGCTGCTCAAGAGAAGAAGAAACTAGAATGTGCAATTTAAAAAAAAAATCACTGTCTCCTAAATATTCCTTTAAAAAATAAAAATATTTAATTCTGGACCTGGTGCCATCTTACTGTCAAAGAACTATCAGGGTTATTCACAACAGGGTGTAGAGTTTGGAGAAGGCCGGAGAAGTGAACAATCTAGGATAGCATAGCTGGACTGGTAACTGAGAATTGGAGAATTTTTCCAGTTCGGCTATGTTGTCCTAGATTGTTCCCTTCTCCAAACTCTTCACCCTTTTCTGAATAACGCTGCATGAGTTCCATCATGCCCTGCAAAGGCTAGCTCGTCCTCGCCTTATTCATCTTATAGCTGTGCTGTCAAACCTTTCCCATTTTTTTTTTATAGTTTATAGGTGGCTAAGGTGATGGTGATTTATTTTTTTCCCTTTTCATTATTTTATCTCTCCTTCCAGTTTCCTTGTGACTTGTAGCGGCATGTTTCTTTATTTTCAGTGATACTCAAGGCGTGAGAAAGTTTTGGAGTACAGTTCTCATGTCTATAGAGTTAAGATGTGTTATGGCAGGGATTTAATAGAACAGACAGTGAGATAAAAAGTGATTTCATCACTTGCTTGAAGCGGCATGATTTTAACGACGATTGTTACAGAACCCCTGACAGATCGCTCTGGAAAACATACATACTAATTGCCGGCGAGCCGCGGGGCACTGATTTTCGAAAGAACCTTCTTTATTCAATTCAAGTGGTTAGCCGCTATTAGCTCGACATGAAGACTGGTTAATTCACAGTCTTCGAAATGTGATTTCTGGGAGCTGAGGTGCTGATACTGGGCAGGAGGGCCACCTTGTATAAGTGAAATTGCAGGATTCGGCAACTTTTCACTTTGGGTTTTGATCAGGCTAACTGCAGGCTGTAATACTTCTAAGGATACAACAGATATTCAGAGTAACAGCCAAAGGATATATGGCACATAACACTTAAATATCTGGTCACTGAAATTGAATAATTTTAAGAAAATAGTGTTTGGAAGCAGATTATTTTGCTGATCGCATTCATATCTATATTTCTGTATTGTATATATGTATTTCTATATAAACTATATATACGCACAACAAACCTAGCCTGATAGTAAAGCACACTTTGTGTTTTGCTCTGTACTTTCATTTTTTTTTTTTTTTGTAGCGCACACAATTTTACCAATTCCTAACAAATGGGACAGTTTTCGGGACTTGGAGATGTGGTACCCCAGGCGGCTTGCCAGGACAAGTAGGGACTTGTAGTTTCCAATCAGCCGATGGTGTCTAGGCTTCCCACCTCTGATTAACTAGTCTTATACAACAATACACATTGTACTGAATGGCTGATTTGCATGACAATGGCGATTTTCTAAAATGAGTTTTGAACAATGCAAAGAGTAAACATTAGGAATTGGGGGGACACAACACTCTCTCCGTGTGAGGTGAGTATCAGAAAGCCAACCTGCAACAGCCTGGACATGCCTGGGTCAGTTTCTCCCTGCTATTCTTTGGCTATACCCGAAAGTGCCAGTGCTAATTACCCCCCTTTGAAGGTTACTGTTGTCAAAACAAACATGAAACCAAACTTTCTGAGGCTCCGTTGTTGACACCAGCAGAATACATTTAGCATTTCCATTCTGCCTTGGACGTTGCCAGCACATTTGCAACTACGTCCTATTATTTCCCACAAAAGTTTAGTTTCTGTCCCTTTCCACTCAGTTTCTGCCACTAAAGTGGCAGAAACTGAATTCTCTAAAAATCTCTAAATTCTAACACCAGTTATTTTAAGGCTTACAAGAAAACAAAAGCTGAGAACAATTGCCTACCCGAAATACACAAAGATCAGAACTTATGTTTTATAAACCCAGCCAATATAATTGCTAAGTGTTAACTTACCAGTGACAGGTCCCTAGAATAGCCCTGTGTACATTATATCTTTTATAAGTATCACCCAAAATATCTGATCCTCCTAGTTGAACAGACTTCCTTATCCGTGGTGACATCTCACAAGTAGGCGCAGTTGGTAGACAATTTTTAAGGACACACTGTAATTAAAACCTTATGATGTGGCACGGATTGCATAATCTAAGGGCATGCCATTGTCACCCAACCCGTGTGTTGCAAGAACAAGGCGTTTCAGATTTAGGGGACGTTCCAGTAGGTACAAAAATACCAGCTGAAGGAAGAGATTGTTCCTGTCAATTATATTGGCAATGTATTAATAATTTAAAGAAATGCTCCACATTTTAGTGCTGTGGGGAACTGTGCGGATTACCAGCTTCCATACTGGGATTACCAGTATGTAATGTATCTTCTAAATATATACAGTGGTACCTCAGTTCACGAAGGCTCCTGTTAGCGAACAATTCGGTTCGTGAACAGGAATTTCGGCAAAATTTAGCTTCCATTCTTGAACTCCGCATCGGGTGAGGAACACAACCGCCGCCATCTTCCCTGCTCTGACACATGGCCAGTTTAATCTAACTTTGGCTACAGCCCTGATCCCCATATGTGCCTGCTCCAGCAGATGGCACCAGACTGCCCAAGGTCGACCGTTTTTGGGTGAGATTAATCTCGATCGGCTGCTTTAGATAATTTAGCCGCTTTCCCTCCTTATATTGTCATTTTATTACATTGCCCCCTTTCCCTTTCCACTGGCATAAACATGCATGTGCAGACAATCTGAGCATGTGCCTTTATCTCATAGTCTGTTAATAAAACATTTTTAGAAAAATCTTTTGACGATTTGATTATTTCTGGATATCTAATTGCATTCTCTATAGTCTTAGCTTTAGAAACGTAACACCGTAACTAGCTGTTATGATTCGATGAGAAATAATTAAGATAAAACTGTAAAGAAATAAGGGTAGAACCTCTCTTCTGGTCAGAAGCAATCTATATATAAGCACTGCGATGTATATAGCAGTGTTATGCAGTTTAAAATCAGCTTTAAAAGCAGATATATAAACATACATTTTAATAAAACATTTTTTAAAAATCATGCCCGGATTTCAGATACAGCTAATAAAACTGGTACAACTCTGCTGCAGAAGAAGTTCCTGTACCGCAAAAGGTGTACAAAGGTATAGTAAGGCAATGGCTACGGTATAGAAGATTGCTGTAACACTCTACACATCTCCAGATTTGTAGACATCTTATATATCATATACATACATATATATATATCTACATACACACAAATAAAACAGATGTTGAAACAAAAAGTATACCTCCATAAGAAGCAACCTGCAATAAATTGCTGTAATACAGCCAAAGGTGTGCTGATTTTGTAGCCGGCGTGAAAGCCCCATAAAAAGTTTCCTAGAACTTTGTAAA